AAATTGAAGATAAAAATACAATTACTGTACTGTAATAGCTTTTCAGAAAAACTTTTCAGTATGAAGAGAGACAATGATCTATAAGATGACATCAAAATCTTGTGTCGAAACGAAGTGTTCAACTGTCCAGGGAAGGCATTCAGTCGGATACAGTAGTTCTTTTGTACAGTACCATGTTTTTGTAAAGGAATTTCACCAGTATAACAATGTACTGTATATTATGATCTATATTAAACCATTACTGATTATTATTATTATTATTACATCATCAGTGTCAGTGTGTACAGTACTGACAAGGTTTCGAAAGCTGTTCTACTCACCAAGCCTGGCTTAGGGCCAGGCTCGGCATAGTGTTGACAAGATATACTTTTTACATTACGTCACTGTGCCAAGACCATTTTCTCAAGTTGTGTAATGAGAGAGATTGTTGGCCTCTAAGGTGGCTACACGAGATGTTCATCAAGTATGAGGGCTGAAGGTTTGTAGCTCATAGCTTCTTGCTCCTGAACAGGACAGGTTATGCTCTCTTAATGCTCTCCAAAAAATGCTGATGTGGTATACATGGACTTTGCAAAAGGCTTTTGATAAATGTGACCATGGAGTGATAGCACACAAAATGAGGTCAATGGGAATAACCGGTAAAGTAGGACGCTGGATACTCAGTTTTCTGTCAAACAGGACACAACGAGTAGCAGTCAATCATATAAAATCGAGTCCAAGCACAGTTAAAAGCTCTGTACCTCAGGGTACAGTCCTTGCACCACTGCTTTTCCTTATTCTCATATCAGATATAGACAAAAATACAAGTCACAGCTTCGTATCATTCTTTCCAAATGACAAAAATCAGCATGAAAATTACCTCAGCTGAAGAGATTACTGTATTAATATCTGCTTGAAGTTTTTCAAAGTTTTCGACTGGGCAACAGAAAATAACACAATGTTTAACAGTGATAAATTTCAGGTACTCAGGTATGGTAAAAATAAGGACCTTAAACATAATACAGGGTACAAAACACAAGCAAATGTACCCATAGTAGGAAAGAAGGATGTAAAGGATTTGGGAATAATGATGTCTGATGACCTAACGTTTAGGGAGCATAACCAAGCAAATATTGCGTCAGCCAGAAAAATAATCGGATGGATTACGAGAACTTTCAAATCCAGGGATCCCATCACAGTGGTTGTACTCTTCAAGTCACTTGTGTTGTCCCATCTTGAGTACTGCTCCGTACTCACTTCCCCCTTCAGAGCAGGAGAGATTGCCGAAATAGAGGTAATACAGAAAACATATACGGCATACATAGACGCAATAAAGCACCTAAATTATTGGGATCGTCTCAAAGCTCTCCAAATGTACTCACTAGAAAGAAGACGAGAGAGATATCAAATAACATACACGTGGACGATACTAGAGGGCCAAGTACCAAATCTACACAGTAAAAGAACAACATACTGGAGTGAATGATATGGAAGAAAATGCAGAATAGAACTAGTGAAGAGCAGGGGTGCCATAGGCACAATCAGAGAACACTGTATAAACATCAGAAGTCCACAGTTGTTCAACGTCCTCCCAACAAGCATAAGAAATATTGCCGAAACAACCGTGGACATCAAGAGAAAACTAGGTCATTTTCTCCAAGGAGTGCCAGACCAACCGGGCTGTGGTGGATATGTGGGGCCTGCGGGCCGCTGCCAGCAACAGCCTGGTGGACCAAACTCTCACAAGTCAAGCTTGGCCTCGGGCCGGGCTTGGGGAGTAGAAGAACTCCCAGAACCCTATCAACTAGGTATCAACCAACCAGGTAGGCATTCATCATAAGTGACTTGTAGGACTTCAAAATCTGTCATCAAACATATACAGCTGCAATACCTCTCTCTCCTCCTTTCCAGAGTACATTGCTCCGGCCACACTCAGCTATCTGCTCTGCTCCAGGCTTCGTCTCAACGTCTACGACACTGCTGTATCCAGGACTACTAAATAAATATGAAACTCACTAAACACTGTATCTAATGAACCCAACAACGTAACATAATCGTACGTTACATTAATCGCTTGCTTAAATACGGTGACTACACCTCACAGTAAGATAGGAGGGTGGAAAAACCGTTACCTGTAAATAGGGATAGGATTATAGCTTGTGTAATTAGTTATGCCATTAAGATGATGAGATACTGGAGCGAGTATAGGTTTACACAGGCTTTGAGTATAGGTTTACACAGGCGAGTATAGGTTTACTGGCTACATTACTATCCTCCCTGGATACTATTAAAAAAAAAATTTTTTTTAGACAACCTTAGTCTGTAATCCAATCATTAACAGTATAAGAGCATGATTAAGTTGTTGATGACACCATAGCAGTTTGAGATGTGTATGAACGCTATATATTTAGGTTATATCATTATCCACGTCCGATGTGAGAGTACTGGAACAAGAACAGTACCCTGGGGGACAGCTTTTCATAGTGGATGATTCAAACTTCGTTAACTGTTACTCTTTGGATTTTAGTTCATTAGGAAACCGAACAGCCATTTTCCTACAGTGCCAGTAATTTACTGTCTCTATATATTCTGTAATTGGAGGCAAAAAAATTAGACAAAAAAGAGAAAGGGGGGCAGCCTGCATTTTTCTTGGACTCAAAGCCTTTGACATAGTACCCCCACATAAGAGGCTGGTGCACAAGTTGGAGAAACAGGCAGGATAAGGAAGTAGCCAAGCAACAGAAAAAGTTGCTTTTTCCCCCTCACAAGTTACTGTGAGGGGGAAGAAGATGGGGGGGAGGGAGATTTCAGAATGGCAAGATGTCACCAATGGGGTCCCACAGGTTCTGTATTTGGACCTGTTCTGTTTCCATTATATGTAAACAATTTTCCATAAGGTACTGTGTAGACATCATCTCAATGTTACTGACAATGGGGGCCTCGTAGCCTGGTGGATAGTGCGCAGGACTCGTAATTCTGTGGCGCGGGTTCGATTCCCGCACGAGGCAGAAACAAATGGGCAAAGTTTCTTTCACCCTGAATGCCCCTGTTACCTAGCAGTAAATAGGTACCTGGGAGTTAGTCAGCTGTCACGGGCTGCTTCCTGGGGGTGGAGGCCTGGTCTAGGACCGGGCCGCGGGGACACTAAAGCCCCGAAATCATCCCAAGATAACCTCAAGATGCTAAAAGTATGAGAAGGATTAAGACAGGAAGATAGCAAGAGACTGCAAGATGACCTGGACAAACTCTAGGAATGGTCCAACAAAAAGGTACTGTACTAAAATTTAACTCAAGTGTAAAGTAATGAAAATAGATGTAAGGAACAAGAGGCCAGACAAGGTACCAATTGGGAGATAAAGTTCTTCAAGATTCAGATACAGAAAAAGATCTGGAGAGAAGGGTGGTTGATATCACACTGAACCAGTCCCAAAGGCCCACATAAAAAAAAAAAATCATCAGTAGCATATGCAAGCTTTGCCAACATAATAACTGCCTTTAGAAACTTATGTAGGGAATGCTTTAGAACTTTGTATACCACATGTTAGACCAATCCTGGAGTATTTAACTCTAGTGTAGAGCCCATATCCAGGCACACACAAGACAAAGAAAAAATTCATAGGTACATCATCAGACTAAGACCAGAGCCGAGAAGTATAAATAACAAGGAAAAACTATGTGAATTAAACCTCAATTCACTGGAAAACAGAAGAGTTTGGGAGGGAATATTTACAACCAAAACAAATTCTCAGATTAATTGACAGGATAGATAAAGCCAAATTATTGAGCATGGGTGGAACACACATAACAGGACAGGGAAAAACTTGGTACTGTATCGAAATAAGCAACAGAGACATTAGAAAGAATCTTCTCGGTGTCAGTAGTTAGCAAATGGAATACATAAGGAAGTGATGTGGTGGAGGCATATGCCAAACAGTTTCCAATAAAGATATGATAGAGGCCAATAGGCTTAGGAACCTGTACATAAGTTGAGGGATGATTGAGAGGCAGAAGCAAAGAACCAAAGCAGAACACCTGTATGCACCACTAGGCAAGTACCATGGCATCCAAGACCATTTTGTCACAAGTGTTTAACAATGTTGAACAGCAGGAGTATGTAACGATACCCATTTGGTCAAGGATTATTTAGACATTGTGATTCCATACATTTTGTAAATTTACTTCTTAACACTCACAGATTTCAATGCTGTACGATGTCAATGCTTTATGGAATGGCACAACCTCTGCTATTTTAAGTGTGTTGGAGATGAAGTTGATATTTAGGATAGTTTAATGGCCTCTAATAACATTTTTCTTTCCAACAGATTTTTATTTTGAATATGGATTTCCAGGAGTTTGGGCCTGGGGCATATTGTACGGGCATGTTGTTTATGGGTACAGTACTTCAGAGTCCAGTTCAACCAGAGTTGAACTGTATCTTCAGTATTTTGCCCATTTTTTTGTTGTCACCGATGATAATTCCAGCTCCTTTGCATAGGGGAGATGGAACCATCTCCCTTGTGCATGGGAGGAGAGGTCCAGTGACATGGAAGAACCAGAAGCCAATCATTACTACAAGACTTACTACAGGTCATTTTTTTAAGTCATAAGGAATTTTTGTTGTTGTATGCAGAGGGAACAGTTTCTGTGAAGGCAGATGCTACATATATAACAGAAAAACTGGATTTATTCAGCCCCAATCTGTCACAACTCTTAAAAGTAAACAACTAAAGTCTGTAAGTTTGGTAATAAAGCCAACATTCAATATATGCCAATAAAAGAGAAAGTAAACTGTTTACACAGCCACAGAAACGTCACAAATCTTGAGAGTGACGTCTGAAATACCTCACAGAAACGAGGCTACATTTACAAAGTCTGTTGACAAACACTTTACATTTCTTGGTTAATATACGTCTTGCCCAGGATCTGTTGGACAAATAGAAGCAAATACAGAAGGTGGCAGGAGCGGAGCCCCCGGACACGAGGAGGAGGAGGAGAGAGAGAGGCAGCCTGGGGGGGCTTACCTGAGGCCCTGAGTCACCCTCAATGACCAGGTCCGAGGACGAAGGGCCTTCCCTGGCCACGCTCTCAGACCCTTGCAGGAGAGAGATGTCGTCCGACGAGGGACTTTTCAAGCAGTTTCCCATCCTCCCCAGTGCTTACACGAGTCCATGGGCCAGAGAGAGCGAGCGCCTGGGAGGAGGGAGCAGATCACTCACAATCACCATGTCAGAATCGCACTTGTGTAGCCTTGGCAGCCGCTCGTGACTTCACAGCTGACGCGGAGCAACACATCACCGCCAAACATAAACAACTCAACCAAACTAGTTCTCCGGGTCCTTTATCTCACTTCTCTTCCCCTCTAACTCTCTCTCCGACACTCTACGCTACATTATTAAGGGGCTAAGATTGTCCTCTTGTGAGGGAGGATGTTAATATGCCTGCCTATTAAGTTTGTCCGGGTGTTAGGCCTTTGTTTTGGTTTTATTGTCGTCTGCTGTGATTGATATGAGGCGGGCTATTTGAAACTATTGACTAGTTCAGTCATGTACAATACATTAACCGGGAATTTGTTTGAGGGCAAATTTGACATAATGCAATGTTACTATAATATGGCTGAAAATTAGACACCCATTCCACAAATCTGAAGATAAAAGAATAGGCGACGTTTCGGTCCTGGACCTTCATCAAACCCAGTCATTACACAACTTTATCTTGTGCCAACTTGTGCCAACTTGATAATGGTCCACGACAGACCTGTAGCGAGTAGATTATCCCATTAATATACTCGCTATATTATTGATATACTCGATATACTATATCTGTAGCGAGTATATTATTGGGATAATCTACTCACTACAGACCGAAACGTCGATTTGTGGAATAAATGTCTAATGCGATCTCATACGGTGGGGCAGTGTATGTTCTGCACGTTATCCGGACAGTTAGATTAATCACCTTGGATCTAGCCATAAACTCACTCCACACATTCTCTTGTGCCAATTACATTTATAAAACCCTGTTCTTAAATGCAAACCCTGTTCTGAAACTCTCCCTGGACAGATGTAATAGAACCCACAGAAATAAATATATCTTTGATATCCCCAGAGTTAAACTAAATCTGAGTAAACACTATGCAAATAAAGGGCCCTATAGTCTATGGAACTCACTCCCCTAACGAATTGAAAAGTTGTTCAACTTTTGCCTTATTCAAAAATAAAACCAAAGAGTACCTAATTTCATCTTCATAGTTTCCTACCTTGTGCTTTAAACTCGCCCTGTATCTTGTGCTACCCACTCTCCCAATATATGTACCTAAGCCATATACATCTTCACCAGTGTAATCATTGTTATCATCTTATATCATGGCTGTTATATTGAACGCATAGTTTACTGAATTATACCTTGAAATAATCCTCAAATTATTCTACAATGTACCTGTTGATAACCCTCAAATTTTACTTTAATGTACCTACTAATCTTTGTCAAATTTTCTTACAATGTACCTGTTAACTTTTTTCAATTTTGCTAGAAATTACCTACTTAAAATTATCTGTTAGATTAAGGACCTGCCCGAAACGCTATTATTGTTAGTGACTTTACAAGAATGTAAAAACATCAATGCTATTTTCTCTCATAAACCCAATGTACCTTATTGTATATACAGTATATAAATAAATAAATAAAGTCGGTGGGCGACATTGCAGACAGTCGGCCTTGGCTAAGCGGACCTCGATAAGATTGGGGCGAGTATATTATTGCCATATAATATACTAGCTACATATTAACAAGGTTCCTCTCGTCGACAATGATATACCAGTTTAATAAGAATGATAATCAGATCAAGGAGCATGCAAGGAAGAGGATCTAAACATTTCCAGGTAAGGAGCTAAGCCTGCCACAAATTTAGTAGGCATATCTATCGTTAATTTATTTATATTTATATAAACAAGAAGTTTTACATTCTTATAAAGCCAATAGGACGCATAGCGTTTCGGACAGGTCCTCAAGTTCAAGTTCAAGTTCAAGTATGTTTATTGAGATAAGAAAGAAATACATCTCAAAGGGATAGAGTAGCGTAGCCTATTTCTACCCCCCCCCTTTCCCCATCTACTTTAAGTCCCTCAAGGAGCGCACAAAGTCCTACCATTCCTACTCCAATCCCTGTGAGCTCTCCTCATTGTTAATGTCCACCCCTTAAGCATCTTGTCATGTGTATAATTTTCTTTTCTTGGGGGATGCTTTTTTATACTAGATGTTTTCCTGTTCAATGTTGCATTAAATACATCTACCTCCTTAATTCTTCATAAAATTCTTCTGCCGAAACTGGCTTATAAGTATCATACCAAGACTTAATATGGCCAACAAGACCCCTTAATTCTCCCTCATTAAACTTTAACCTTTTCCACTGAAGGCAGGCATGCTTTTATTTAGTTTAAGCTGTATTTGTAATGCAAAATGATCACTTAGCATTTCATCCACAGTAAGACAATTCCCCTCTATGCCCTCAGCATTTATCAAACAAGCATAATCTAATCTCCCTCCCCTCAAATGAGTAGGAGAAGCAGTTGGTTTTGAGTTCGTGAGAACCTCACGACGGTTAATTTTGAGAATGTTGTGATGGTTACTCCAGAAGAAGGTATGTTGCACACAAAGATCATAGTTTTTAAGTTTCCAACTTATTTGGATCCTGACTGTCTTCTTCTCAACAATGTTGTCTGGGCAAAGAGGAACAGTGTTCGTGGTGACAAACAAGGCCAGGTTGTTGCGTTGGTAAAGGGTGAGGCGCCGGAAAGAATTTTTGTGCAAGGACTAGGCTACAGGAAAGTTGCAAAATACATTGAGGAGCCCCATACTGTGCATGAAGTGTTCGCGTTGGGGACATATGGCATGGAAATGCCAGTTTGACCCCAGGTGTCTGTATTGTGATAAGAAACACGGCTCGCGAGAGTGTAGAGTCAAGATTGAAAAAATTGAAAAAATCGTCCCAGTTTGTTGCAACTGTTGAGGTAGCCACAATGCTGGTTCCTATCTATGCCCCATGAAGCCTCATCTGAGAGACCCCAGGACGGGTCCTACAAGCAGGATAGATGTATCCTCGAAGGAAGGAAAGATCGTGCAGCAGGAACATGGAGGAAACAGCTGGAAGCCAACGACAGCCCCTATGAACAATGTGTGGGAGAAAGGAACGGAGATAATTAAGGCGAGCCTAGGGAAAGTAGGTAAGGCAGTTGAAAAACTGAAACCTTGTGACGACAAGGTTCAGGACAATATGGTTAACTCTGAGGTTGGTAATCAAATTCTGGAATATCTAAAAAAAAAAAAACTAGACAAGAGGATTGAGGCATTGGAAAAATTGGCTATGGAGGGTAGACGGGGTGAAGATGGTGGTGAAACAGGACGTATAATTGAAAGTAAAACAGGACGTGAAATGGAAAGTGAAACGTGCGTAGAAGAAAGTAATGATGCGCATGACGTAACGATGATAGACGATAGTCAGGAGAATACATTTTCTAGTAGTGTTAGCGGTGTTCAACCTCCTGTTGTGACAAATGTTGAAAGAAAGGTTAAAGTAAAACGGTATACAGAAAAAAAACAAAGAAAATAGATATGAATAATATTACCTTCGATGTTGACCAGACCACACACTAGAAATTGAAGGGACGACGACGTTTCGGTCCGTCCTGGACCATTCTCAAGTCGATTGTACCTTCGATGTTCATAGTAGTTGTGCAAGTGAGGAAAAAGAAAACTGTTACGGTGTTGGAAGGAAGTTTCTAAGGTACTCTCGTATCTCATGGAATGTGACGCAAAATCACGCTCAGGAGTCAAATTTCCGACATTTCAGATATTTTGAAAACTGCAGCTGGGTTTAGGCAAAATATGACCCATAGCCGTTTTCAGTAACTGGCATATTTCAGTATATAAAGTCGTAATTTGAAAATGAAAATAGGTGCAGAGAGTCAAAATTCAGCTCAAAAATCACGCTCAGGAGTCAAATTTCCAACATTTCAGATATTTTGAAAACTACAGGGGGGTTTGTGCAAAATATGACCCATCGCAGTTTCCAGTAATTAGCATATTTTCGGTACAGAAAGTCGTAATTTGAAAATGAAAATAGGTGCAGAGAGTCAGGATTCAGCTAAAAAAATCACGCTCAGGAGTAAAATTTTCGACATTTCAGATATTTTGAAAACTGCAGGGGGGTTTAGGCAAAATATGACCCATCGCAGTTTTCAGTAATTGGCATATTTTCGGTATAAAAAGTCGTAATTTGAAAACGAAAATAGGTGCAGAGAGTCAGAATTCGGCTCAAAAATCACGCTCAGGAGTCAAATTTTCGACATTTCAGATATTTTGAAAACTGCAGGGGGGTTTGGGCAAAATATGACCCATCGCCGTTTTCAGTAATTGGCATATTTTCGGTATAAAAAGTCGTAATTTGAAAATGAAAATAGGTGCAGAGAGTCAGAATTCGGCTCAAAAATCACGCTCAGGAGTCAAATTTCCGACATTTCAGATATTTTGAAAACTGCAGGGGGGTTTGGGCAAAATATGACCCATCGCCGTTTTCAGTAATTGGCATATTTTCGGTATAAAAAGTCGTAATTTGAAAATGAAAATAGGTGCAGAGAGTCAGAATTCGGCTCAAAAATCACGCTCAGGAGTCAAATTTCCGACATTTCAGACATTTTGAAAACTGCAGGGGGTTTGGGCAAAATATGACCCATCGCCGTTTTCAGTAATTGGCATATTTTCGGTATAAAAAGTCGTAATTTGAAAATGAAAATAGGTGCAGAGAGTCAGAATTCGGCTCAAAAATCACGCTCAGGAGTCAAATTTCCGACATTTCAGACATTTTGAAAACTGCAGGGGGTTTGGGCAAAATATGACCCATCGCGGTTTTCAGTAATTGGCATATTTTCGGTATAAAAAGTCGTAATTTGAAAATGAAAATAGGTGCAGAGAGTCAGATTTCGGCTCAAAAATCAGGCTCAGGAGTCAAATTTCCGACATTTCAGATATTTTGAAAACTGCAGGGGGGTTTGGGCAAAATATGACCCATCGCCGTTTTCAGTAATTGGCATATTTTCGGTATAAAAAGTCGTAATTTGAAAATGAAAAAAGGTGCAGAGAGTCAGAATTCGGCTCAAAAATTAC